TAATATTGGTAAGCTTTATTTAAAATATAATATCAACTAAAAAGTTCTATACCAGTAAATAATAGGTATAATGGTATTRGTTATAATATGTACGTGACTATTGTAGTTATTAATGTAAAAAAATCCATACATCTAAAAAAAATCAATCTCCGTCGTAATATAAAGGYATCTTTCTCGATCAAAATGATATAAAATAAAAATATGTTCTAGTTTTTCCAATTCAATTTATGGTGCTACAAAATGAATCCACTGGCATATCAACCATCATATTCTAATATACCGTAACATAAATCTACAATAATAGCAGTCTAAGATATATTATATTGTTGATCGCACTCACTTCAAGTAAAATACAAAAATATTATTTATAAATGTATAATTCATTTTTTTTAACACGAATACTTGTTTATAAAATGATTATTATGAATAAATATAAGCTACCAATGATATAAAATCACACATGGGATTACATGTCTTCAAAATAATTCCCATCGGAATAATAAAACGTAARATTCAATATTATATAAAAATTGTATACCTAATATATTTTCTCTTAGTCTAATCAGTTTTATCTGTGCTCTATAGTCAGTGTTTATTACTGTCCACTGATTAGTCATTGGTATCCCTTATAATTTATACAACAATAAAATCAATGTTATATTAATTATCCTTAAAGGTACCAGTACCAGTAATTTAAAAATATATTTAATTTATATTCACATCATTAAAGCGCTATTCGCAATTTTTTTTAAGCAATCCCTTTAATATAATATATGCTACTGTATGATATTGAAAAATTTAATTAAAAAAAAATATTATTGTACTCATAATTTACATATTCATTATTTGCTGAAGTGAACCTAACCTACTTAAAAATAGGCACTTGCAATAATATGGTTGGGTCATTAGAGTAAAATAACCACMATTTTCCTCTTGAAATCTCAGATCTTGAAATTTCCGACTGTATATATTTTCGTATTTAAATAGAAGGTTCTATACACGAAACGGAAATGGCGACAAATATTTTGCAATCATGATAATAACAAGAAATACRCACTTGGTATTTGAGTATTTCGATTTGAAAAACGTGTGACCTGAATTACAAAATCATCAAATACTTGCGAAGTGTTTTTTTTTTTTTTTTTAAATGCTGATAATGTATAAATAATAAATATATAAATATATAATATTTAGGTATTCAAATTCAGATACGCGTATGGTTATCAATACTTAACATGGTTTACTAAATCATTGGAGTGGTGCATAATACTTGCGTCCCAGAATTTATTTTAGAGGTAAGTTGCGTCTGGATTAAAAAGGCCAACTCACCTAATTGACTTTATTTTTAATAGTAAGTTTAACCTAACCAAGTTTGGTGGAAACTATTTTACCCAGACACCAATTTTGACTAAAGATGATATTTAAGTAATCTTAACATTTGCAAGTATCTTTATTATTCTTTAATTTCTGTAATAACAATACATTTATGAAGAACCTTGTATTCAATTTTCAATCTTTTTGACCAATCGAAAACATGTTAATAAAGGTAGTCCGTAACAATATCATACTATTATGTTACCTACCCATAATATCTAAGTGATAGCCGATAGGTATTATGCTTATATTATAATGGAATTTATAAGTAAGGAAAATTCCTGATAGATCATTTATTTTTGAATTKTTGATCATAAAAAACCATTTTGATCAACGTGTGATTCTAAATCAAAACCACGGTGGTTGATATTTTTTCATAAATGTTCAGTATTGCGGTAAGTAGCATAAGATAATTAAAGAACGGATATAGATGCTCTAAAAAAAAGAAATTACTAAAAATAATATAATTTTATGCACTTTTTTKCAAAAAAAATTTTTTTTAATCCCCTAAAAAAGGGCTCTTAAAATTATTTTTAAAATTGAAAAAAGCTGTTTTAATAAATTCTTATTCATATTAATTATTCGTATCATTTAATTATTAGTTTTCTTTTATCTTCTTTTTATCCTGGCAGTTATTTCCAATAAAAGAATATACAGTTCAAATAAATACATTCGCTATACTTTCACCTTGTGTTTCATTATAGCATTGGATGAATATGATACTGTTTAATATTTTTTATCTGATCGGTAAAAASATAATAAATAATAAAAATAGAATTACCAAAAAACAACAAAAATAATATTTTATTTCATTTTTATAAAATGAGTTTTAACGAAATTTGTATCAAATTGTATTCATCCTTGTATTATAAAAATGACTTAAAAGCATACAGATTTATTAAAAATGTCAAAAAATGTTCCATTAAGTTAAAAATTCTTAAAAATTCAAAAAATTGCAAAATAAAAGTTACATTTTTTAATTCCTTGATGTAGATATGAAATGAACATTGTGCTTGAAAAGCAATATTTTCAAAAATAATAAATAAATAACTTATTTCATGTACTATATTAATATATAATTGTATATTAATTTATTCGGAGCTGTGTTAAGATGAAAGGGATGAAAAACACATTTGGCTGGGRTACCTTAATTGGTAAAAAATAATCTGAGGACGAATATTAAATGGTTATAGATCTAGAATTGTTAACAAATCAACAATGTAAATGACTCCCTAACCCAACGAGACAWCGACCACGGGACAACKTATAATATTAAATACTTCGAGAACGTCAAACAACTTTCCATACATACGTCATACACATAGCCCAAAACAAAATTAACTATACTAATTTTAAAAATATTGTCAAATTGTTCTTTTATACCATGTCGTCTATTCATAATCGACAAAATGTACAGCACATTATATGTGATATGCACAATGCACATATTCACTTATTAATATGAAACATTAACGAAATACAAGTATCAAGTGAACTCGAACATTATAGRATGAATATCGTCGATAACATTGCGTATGTATGCGGCAAATCGATAGATGCGTGTGCACTGTACACCATCCAAGCTCGAYAAAAATTAAAAGAATTTCAATTAATTATGTATAAAATATAAAAACAAAAAATACGTATATATTTATACATATTATCTATCGGAAAAAATGATGCTTACAAAGTGAGAAAAATGTACTTATTTACCATCAGATGTGTATTTTTTATTTTTTATTACCAGTAGATTTGAAATTGCTTACCGCAAATACTGTGATAGCAACTATTATTTTTCCACCGGAATTAATTTATATAAATCACCATTGAAGGATTCTGAWATAACATGCAAATTTAGACTTTTTGTTAAACAGTGGAAAATAATTAATTTTAGTTATCTATCACACTTATAGGTTATCAAACATTTAAGTTACAAGTTTATAATACTATACCTTTATTTATATGAGAAAAGTTGCATCATATTATTTTGTATCTAATAATTGGATATATATAACCTAACCATGATAGTAAAACGTTGACCAATATAAAAATAATAAGTTGACTTTTTGAAATAAAACTTTTAAAATATTTAAAAAAAAACTCTGAACAGTACGTGCAAGTAATTAATCTTTTTGCTTGTATATCCCGTRAAGTCCGATTATTGGTGTAGCTTCACTGTAAATATAATATTTCAAAGTTTACTTTATGGAACGTAAATCATAATTAATGAAAATTTACTATAAAAATACTGAACAGTAACGAATGGTATTGTCCCATCATATACAATATCTAATCTCACAACGTTCATGGTTGTATTAACTTTCGATGTCATCAGCTTTTCCTTACTCTAACAAAGTATTGAAAATCAAAAATAACAACTTATGCTTATGTATAATCAATTTTTAATCAATACTCTGGACTGTCAAAAACTATTAAATCACTTTAACTCGAATAAGCAGAAAAAATGTAATACAATAATAATAAAAATATTCTTTGAAAAAAACTTAATTCTAAAATCAATACAATTATTGATTCCTAAATTCCTTAAACCACAACCATACCGTAAAACACTCGATAAACCCACAACATACTTTTTAATATTTACGATTTCTTTCTTCAATAATTTTAGCTATAAAATTTCATTTTTTCGTTATTATAATTCAATTTTCAGTTTTGTTTTAAATAAATCATTCAAACTTAAGAGATCCTATTCCTACAATATTAATGAAAGTTGAAGGGAATGATTGATTCCATGCAAATTGAATATTTGTTTTAGAATTTTGTTTGTATTGCGCCTGTGTCTGACGCATCTATATAAAATAAGCTATTTTGTAATTTCTATTGTAATTAGTTTCAATAACTTTTACGAATGATATAATTGCAATATTATAATATTTTACGTATTTATCGCATTCTAATGTACGACTTTAGTAGGTTTATATCGTGTAAAAATATTTTTGTGAAATACTCACAGCTTACATTTCTACTATTTTCCGACATAAGGTGCTCATTTACATGTTATAGTTAAAACTTAGATTCATATCAGATTCACGTGTTATTCACCACATTTTACACAACCTAGAGCTAAAAAACGAATATCGGTGTGTCTTCTCCAGATGCAATATGAACACAGATTAGAGTTGTTTGTGCTTAGTTTGTCAACCATACAATGCAACACTAAATACAATTTTATTGTAAGGATCCCAATCTTAGGATTTATCATTTTAAGTAAACCGTGTACAAAGAGAACGAATTCATTTTTATTTWTTTTTTTTCTAGTAGGTACTAATTTGTAATCTAACTCGGAACACGGAATTGTGTATTATAATAACATTGTTATAAGACTGTATTTTTACTTTTTCTACGCCTCCGTCTCCGTCGTTAGCATTGGTTCTGATCTACATATTGTTTAGGCATTTATGTTATTGTTATTCAAATGCCAAATCGGAAATTTTGTGTAAATAATTATAACTATTTGAGGTATAAATATACAAAAATATCGATTAGGTATCAAATCCATTATTTTTTTAAAAATGTAATTAATGTATATTTTATTGTGTGTTTCTTATTTTTATTTTTTTAAATTTTCAATATTCACTACTGATTTATTCATTTTTTTTTTTCAGTAAGCTTACTATCAATGTGAAGTTACAAGATTACAAGTTCGAATCATGAAATTATTTCTACGCATTTTCATATGCATAAGTTTTTTTGTCTTCAATACGTTTACCTTTTGTACAAGTACTGTTAAAACTGAAACTAGTTTCCTGACAACCGTCAAATTAGCTTCAAGTGTCAATACTGAGGTTCCATCTGTGGTGTGGAAACAAAACCAAGTTTTGAATCTAACACGCGATTGCAGCTTCGAATCGGATCGTAGTAGTGATTTAACATGTCGCGATTCAACAGAATCAAAAAATGTTTCGAAACGTTTGGCGACTGTTTTGAAAAAAAACTTGATCACGACGACAACCTCAACCATCGAAAACATTAAAAAGACAAATCATTCCACCACAAATCTAACAACTACTAAACCGAAACCCCCAAAATCCGTTGGTGCTACTTCTAAGTCACCGCYCAGTGGCATGAAACCTGGTAAACACATACAAAAAAATAATTCGAAGCACCGTGACGGCACGATTGGGCCTAAGCCGGACAAAAGGCTAAGCGACGCCGTGCACAAAACACCCAATGTCAACACTTCGAATCACACAGAGGAGATYGTAGTTATGTCGGACTTCAAGACCAAATATCCAGTCAACACGTGGAAAGAACACGGGTTCTACACGGATGATTACATGAAGTTAATCAACAGTCATTGGTTCAAATTCATGCCACCTAACGCCACGTCACACTACATTCTCGGATTACTGTACACGGTCATCATGGTACTCGGTTGTTTCGGGAACTCGCTTGTGATTTTCATGTACATCAAGTTAGTTATAATTTAAACTACAATATTTCTATCTTACACTGTATCCATTATTGCCTATTATTACCTACATAATAAATACTATCATTGAACGTGTGAACAAAAAAATATTTATCCTATTATCATTTGATCCAACTGATGTTTTTTCAGATGTAAGTCATTGCAAACGCCCGCCAACGTATTGATAATGAATTTGGCCGTCAGCGATTTCATTATGCTAGCGAAAACGCCGGTTTTCATCTACAACAGTTATTACCAAGGTCCTACGCTAGGAAAATTGGGTAAGAATAGACAACAATTAAAACATATTGTATAAGGTATTTATAACAATATGTGATGATGTCATTATTAATTTTGATATCTAACATTTGTTTCGGATTTTTTCTTCGTATAGGCTGTCAAATCTATGGATTTTTTGGAGGCTTGACGGGAACTGTCTCCATCATGACGTTAGCCGCCATATCGTTGGACCGGTATTATGTGATAGTACACCCTCTGAATGCGGCCGTGAAAACTACCAAACAGCGAGCCAGAGTGTGGATAGGCCTAATATGGATGTACGGATTTTTGTTCTCTATCATACCGGTAATGGACCTGGGGTACAATCGATACGTACCGGAGGGATACCTAACTAGTTGTAGCTTTGATTACCTGACGGATGACAAACAAGAGAAAGGGTTCATCTTGGTATTCTTTACCGCTGCATGGTGTATACCGTTCACCACGATATCGTATTGTTACATTAAGATACTGAGGGCAGTTTGGGTTACAAGCGAAATGACCGCAAGCCGGTTCGGGCAGGAAGAAGAGAAAAGAAAGACGGAAATAAGGCTGGGGTATGTGGTGGTTGGGGTTATCATGCTATGGTTCGTGTCGTGGACGCCATACGCCATGGTGGCTCTGCTGGGTGTATTCGATCGGAAAGAGTACATCACCCCACTGAGCTCGATGATCCCTGCGTTGTTCTGCAAGGCTGCCAGCTGCATGGATCCTTGGATATATGCCATCACGCATCCGAGGTTCAAAAACGAATTGACGAAGCTAATGTCTAAAAAAAAGACAAGGAAATTGGAGCGAGATTATGGGATGAAAAAGAACTGGGGAGGCCAGTCATTTTCAAACAAGAGTGGCGTTGGTCTCAAGAACTTCTCTAGCTCAGAAGATGAGTGCGTGGAAGAAGTTATCGTCGTGGTTGACTCAGACGATAAGAAGATGAAACGGCAAGGATCAACTTCCAGTCACAAAACCGAAGAGACCAAAGCGCTGGAGACAAAGTTCCCACCCACCAGGCAGGAGAGTCTGAAGTACATGCCACCAAGTTGGTACAAACTTCCCCGGACAACGTCTAAGAGCAGCATTATGTTAGACGTGAAACATACAGGAGATGATAACAATAAGTGATAATGTTCTTGTCAAGGTTGCCAACGAGCACACGATGAGTTTGAAGATTTTAAATGATAAACGCTGTGATTAAAATGCTAGTCTATATATTATTAATATGTTATGTATAAACATAATGGTGAATAATCTGATCTCACACTTTGTTTTAAGGAAAAATTACAAACATGTATTTTAGTAAAATGTGGTCGTTATGCTCGTAAATGTTTTAAGTGCTAATTTGTACGCGTTTTTCATGTATAATAATACAATGTAAATCCCATGCGTGTGGCCACTAACGCGTATTAACGAGCACTACACCACCACATGATGGTATATAATTCGAWATGTCAATAGTAAACTATGATATTTATCTTACATTGATATGTTTATTGAATAGAAAGATTAGGTGCACTCAATATAAAATTATTTAAGTTCAAATATTATTTGTTTGAGTGCATWTTATACATAAAAAATAAATATGCGTGATCATTAAGCATATTCCTGCAAAGCTAATCAAAAACCAATAATTTTTATTATTACCTATTGTTTTTGTTAAGTTTGAACGCACTTTTTTATTTTACCATCTACCATAGAGGTAGATTTTTAAAAATTTGAACAGTTTTATTAAGCCAACATAATTTCACTTTACACTATTTAATCAAAAAGGCTTAACATAGTTATTTGAGGGTTAAAAACTATCAAAATCAAAACTTTCAGAAAAATATAATTATTTTCAATAGAAATAAATCGATATGTAGGTAAGGAACTATTTTACCAAATACCTTATACCAATGGGTTAATACAATTATAAGTATAATAGTAGTTATATTCATGACTGTTATCCACGGTATCATCCTTATTTAAATCATGTGTTAAAATTCTTTGCTCTTCGTGACTTGTATTAAATTCACGTTAATAAAATTAGTTTTTTTACACCAACAATCCTTTTTAATTTAAATACTTGTCAAATTAATAAACTGACAATTGTATTTGTTTAAAATATATATATATATATTCAGGTAATATTGTTGAACTTCACGTAGATGCATAAGTATTTAATAATATGTTAAAGATAATTAGAACTCCAGTAAACATGATATATATAGATATACCTAAATGGTATATTATCATTTTACATAAATTTAATAAAATTATAAAATTATAATAAGAAGAAGAAACTGGTTATGTGCGGGGTTGGTAAATTGAGCCCCAAATRACCCTAACTCGGTAAATTGAGTCCCGGGGAAAAATAGGTACCTARTAGATAATTTGAGTCCCAGGGAAAAATGATTTATATGCATTTAGAATTTAAAAATATGCACTATAAAATTTTTATTTGTGATTTGTGGACATTCATTGACTGCATGTATATGATTTTGAAAACAGCAACATGCATTTTTATTGCATTTTTATTAATTATATAATTATTATTTTCCTCAACGATATAATAACGATACACTCTTTACAATACCAAAACACTCACAGTCAATAAAATTCGATAACTTTGTGACATTGAGCCTTTKATTAAACGCAATTAAGATACTGATAAGTAGGGGCTTGTTCGTACGTATATACTATATATACGTCATACGTATATTACAGTATCTTAAATAAATGGAGTGTATAATAAGTGTATAATAATAATGACAATTATTTTTTAAATTACCTATATTTTTAATATTTTTAATCAATGTAAATTTAAATATTATATCCTTATATAAATAGCTTAACATAAGTCAAAATATTTACTTACTACCAATTTTTTCCCGGGACTCAACTTACCTACTACCAGTTTTTCCCGGGATTCAATTTACCGCTTTCAAAACGTACCAAACTTATCTCGGACTCAATTTATCTAGCCCCGTTATGTGAATGGTGAAATTATATGATAAGCATTGATATTTRTGATTGCCGATTGGGCACACCTACACATTACGATTTTAATGTGAGGTAAATTTGGGACAGGGTGATTAACTTATTTAAGCATATCCAAATTCGTTTTCCAATGTGCAATTATTTTTTTACTATATATTTATAAATGTTTCTAAGTTAATGAGTTTAAGCTATTMTAATAATCAGTGCAATGGAATACGAAGTTTTATCATTCCTGGAAAGCTTGCAAACCGTTATTTTGTCACATAAGTAAATATTTTATAACCAATTACGCATATACTCCAGTGAATTCCATTAGTTAGTGCATTATTGTGCTACACAGATATTCCCATAAAAWTTTTTGCTTATAGYTCCGAATACCCAGTAGGTAATTCAGAACAGACATAATCAATTTCTATCAATATATAAACTATATAATATGATTAATTTTGTATCTAAATGTGCGTATAATTTTACTGGTTAACAAATCAATAAAATTCTGATATTTTTTTRTACCTTAATTTTTAACACTTAACGTACCACAAAAAATGCATGGACATAATTTATCATCCTATTTCAATAATCAAAACTTTCATACATTTCTGAAAAAAAAACGCTTGTGTAATACAATATTAATACATTTATTCTACGCGTTAGTTTTAAGGACATGCTACACTTAAGAAACCGATATAGCCATTTAGGCATATATTCATAATATGTTTATTGTTTTTATAATATATTATATGGTTTTTAACCATCTCAAACATGAAATAAATAACTGATTTAATCTGCCAGCTAAACAGCTTAGATAAAATAATACGTTGATTAACTAGGTGCGTAAAGTAATAATATTAACACTAATATWATTATAGGTATTGCTAAAACATTTTATACCATACACCTAAAGTTATAGATAGTAGATACATAGCTTGAATCTGATATTAGACATTAATATCACTTAAATAAATAAAATTGTTTTGAATTAATAAAATTAAGAGTATTTGGAACTAAGGTAGTTACATAAATGGATTTAACAATATTGTGCATTGTATTAATCACATAATATATTGACGTTTATATGGTAAATAATGTTTATCATGCTAAATGCAAAATCAGTGTATTAAATTTTTTATTCTTAAAGTTACTAGAAGTCTAGAAACATTTATATTATCGAACAAAGTAAAATATACGATAATATAATATACTTACACTTATTTAGACATCAGTGTGCATAACTTATTATAATAATAAAACTTATTTGATATTCTAATCACAATAAATCCTATACAACTAGTTTTTTGATCAATTAATAATATAAAATTCTTAATGCAAAATAATGGGACCAAATTATAAATATACATATTATTTATCAATATTGGTATTAATTAATTGGCGATATTTGACTGTACTTTACAGTCAATTTATAACAAACATATAGGTATATTAAATAATATTGTCAAYATACCAACACAATAATTTGTTTTTATTCAAATAAATACAATAATATGGCTTATTAAAATTAAAYTCTTCACTTACAAGTAATTTTAAGTAATTTGATATGTTATGATGTATTATGAACATCAAATGATTTGAATAAGAGCAATATTAAGATATGACTTTAAAAAATGTATACCCAATATTTACAGTAAAMGTACGATTCATATAAATAATTTAACCTTGTAAAATAATTTGACAAAAACCACTGAGGCACTGAATCTTATATTAATAAAAACTAAATTAATATAAGAATATATATGATTCRCGTAAAATTTAATGTTTTAAAATACATCTATACAAACTATTAAGTTTAATTTAATTTTAATACTTGTTAGGAATATTTTAGTACATCAGTACATGTTTTTTAGTCTTTTAGATATCAAGAGAAATAGGTAGACACGTGACACGTCGCATATACATAAATGCACTTAATCATTAGATAGTTTATAATCAAGTACGACCACATTCAGTGCTCGAATTGGAGCCATAAAGATTCTCTCGCATTTTTAAAATATTTTTAGAGTGTCTCTACCAATAAATATCTTTTATCAAATATTTTTGTAATCTTTATTTAGCAAAATTATATTGAATTTTATAACTTGTTATAATTATGATACCTTACTGATACAGTGATACCTATCTAGATATTCCATATAATTTGAATACAAATTTTAAACAAATACAAATTATATACCTACATTTAATTATTACAATTATTTATAATAAAAGCAGTTTTTTTTTATTGCTCGTTAATTTCCGTCGCTACTATGTCATATTAATAATGTAATAAACTAATAAATGAAGTAGAGAAATAATTTTAACAGACAACTAAATAGTTCAGATAAAATATTAAAGTGATAGATTGATTCAACTAGGTACCTACTTAGAGTAATCTGAACACTAATATTACATTGTTAAGACACTGATACCACACACCTAAAAGTTACAAATAGGTACGTAGCTTGAATCTGATATTAGACATTAACTTGAATAAATTTAGCAAATTAATAAATGTATGTACCTTGTTTTGAAATAATAAATTTTAGAATACTTAGTATTTATTTGTAGTAAGTATTTATTGCATACATGGATTAAACAATATTGCACTTTTTTTTATATAGCTCATAAGTAGTCGTTGCTACTATATAATATGTCATACTAATAAAGTAGTAAATCAGTAAATGCACTGTAATTATTTCTTTGGAAATTGACCATTGAGGGTTGTAGCCTGTGCGGGACTTCACAAATTAGGTTGAGTTTAAGACAATCGTTTCAAAAGACGTTAATTTTTTTCAAATCCAAAAGTCTAACTTCTTTTATTTTTACAATTCGAGCATTGTGACCATATTTTACATGGTATCAGTTGACACACGACGCTACGATATAGTATAGATACAATTAAAGATCACAAACAGCACAAATTATATACTTATCACTTATGATTTTATATGAATCCATGAACAMTGCCTAGTTCAGACGAGGTAATCATTTTTTAATTTTTGTTTAAACGAACGACTATCGCTTGGCGCTTGCACAAAATTCAAAATTTAAAAGGCCATAATAGAAACAAATTTTTAAAATAAGACATATGTAAAATTAATATAATAATAATTTGTAATTCACTTAAAATATTATAAAAATATATAAGTGTATAGTATAAAATGGGCACGAACAACAATGTTTAAGTTGTTGATTTATAGTAAGTAGTCATTTAAATAAATACCAGTCGGAACATTAATTCATATTAWTACAAAACATGTAACTATAATGTCAGTGAAAAAATACAAAATACCATTGTATACATACATAATTATTAAATTAATTAATACTTMAATATTTGTCTTTATCCTTGTTCGCGTCACCGTTTGTTGCTGGTTCATTCAAAAGCACTGGCTTGTATTTCCTAGAAAAAAAAATCATTTAATAAACATACATACATGAATATATATATAATTAAACTGTAATAATGTGTTAATAATGTGTTTTAATTGGTGTAAAAATATATTGAATTTACTACCTATGAATAAAACAAATGAAATATTATATTTCGTCCATTTCATCAATCGTGTGTGTTTTTTTAAAATCTTTATTAATTGAAGTACTTTAATTTAAGTCTTAGTCGATGTGTTTAACACTAGGTATACATAAATAGACAAAGACATACATAAAAAGACAAAATTATACCTTGTCTTATATTCGTACTTAAAATATACAGGTAACCAGTCAAAAAATCTCCGACAAAGTATCTCCGGTCAAAATATATAGATAGATATTAGAGAAAGTTAACAAGTAACAACAAATAAACTTGATTTCTATGCATTTTAATTTTCATTGCAAATTTGTATTAAAAGTTAAATACGATGAAATACGTTCATTCTATAGAACGTTGTTATGATCACTCACTTCTCTGACATAGCAATGAGATCTTCGATGGTGTCTGGCAATTTTCTGTTTAAAGTCTCGGGTAACACAAGTGACCATACTCCGACCAACAATGCCAGACCGCCGTACACAACCAACGGCATATTAACCCAAATTTCAGACTGAAAATTAAAAGAAAATTTGTGACCTGCAGGATTATTTTATACCATACAATACGCAAACGCCGCGCAGTGCGCTTTAAATGCGCATTTCATACCGTGTTATTGATGTATGGTGCCACAATCCCTCCAATCCTGGCGAAAAACGATCCTACTCCCAAGCCCATATTCCGCACTACAGTTGGAAACTGTTCTGCGGTATAGACGTATACAGCTCCATATGACGCAGTTATGGACAGTTTAGCCATCATTGCAAAGAAGATAATCATCCACGTATTCGCTAGAATTAAATGCAATTTGTTTGTGAAATTTTAAATTTGTCATACAAACTAATAAAGCAGAGCTGTATGATATATAAAAGATTAACGATAATCGGTAAGTTCTGTAGGTGATATAATAAAAAAGKTAATTGTTGCCTTAAAATGATATTATAATAGTCAATTTCATTAGTTAACACATATAAAATTGATAAATTATTTACTTTTGGGTACAGCTAGAGTTGCTAGAAGTGCTAATCCGGCTAATATTAAGAATCCCGATATATTTATCTTCCTGCCCCATTTGTTGAGCGTCAATAACAAAAATATATAAGCTGGAAACTCTACCATACCGGCTAAATTGAATACAAAATATTGATTTCCCCCAAGATTGGAAGTACTCCAAGACAGACCATAATAGGCAGTGCTGTTTACAAACCTAAAAAAATAAAATAATATTCAGTCACGATTTTATTTTCATTTAAAGGTGCATAATATTAATTCCAATACCTACATAGTTGTATATAGGTACTGGTTTTTAAACTGTATGTGCAACCAACAAATTATTTTATTAAAATAACTTGTATTTATAACAGAATGATTATATAAGATGTCTTATTCATTCCATAATATTCATAATATTAAATATTTTTAAAATATATAATATATATATATTATATATATAGTATATATTATATACTTTTAAAGTATATTTTTGAATTGGAAATAATTATAATTATAAATAAAATTTAGGTAATAACTAAACAAATTTCAGAGAGACAAAGAAAAATAATAGTAGATACCCAATTTTTTAATTAAAAAAATATATAATTCCTACGGGGTCAGCATTAATATTATTCATTGAATATTAAGTGCCATTTTAAAATTTGCAAAGTATTCAATTGTTGTCACCTGATCTGATATCAAGAAATACATACCGATATCTGCTGAAAAGATTTAGAATATATGGCAAATATGATGACTGTATTATTTGAAAGTTGTGTTACATTGTAAAAGAATATTATGATATAGTATAATCATATCATGAATACAAAGAAAATTTTTTTTAGTTTTGATTATTAATATTTTTGAACATTTTTAGTTTCATCATATTTCAATCATTTTAAAATTTTTAGTTTCAATAACTTATATTTCAGACATCTATAACTAATCATATGCGTAATATAATGCAAKGTGGAAAACACATTACTTTTATAATAAATATTATTTAATACTTTAAACAAGTGTTTCTCAACCTGGAGTCATCCATTATTTAAATATTTAAAACACAAAAAGTATATTAAAATTAATCAATTTTCTATGTGAGTATATAAAACTATGTATATATTGGGTTGCTAAAAAATTGGAATTCAAAAAAGGGAGCGCAACAGTAAAAAGATTGAGAAACACTGCTCTAGGCTCTAGATAGTGATTTTTTTGGTTGATTAATGTATATAATATCTCATCAACTGTTGTTACCACAAAAGCATTATGATGATTGATCTTTTCAAAATCACTGGATGTTTGAATAGATCGAAAAACGACGCTTTKGATTGAGTATCGGGCTGTACTATTGGCTTTTTCTCATAATCACTTTCTAATATTTCAATTATTTCTTTGTCTGAAATCTCCACACCGTTCACCCTGCAAACTTTTTGAATAATTTTTACGGCTCTCTCCTGTTTATCATTGGCCAATAGCCAACGCACCGATTCTGGTATAAACCTTAAAAATCAAAAATTAGTTTTAGTAAACTTCGCTGGTGGGCGGTGGCAAAACCAATACGAGAACTGCTACGTAACCTACCAATAATAGGTCGTGTAGAAGAAAGTCGGTATGGTAATAGCCAGTTGAAAGTATCTCCAGGTATTGTGGAAGGCATATGCAAATCCAGATGTTAAGAGGAATCCAACAGAAAAGAACATCTGTATGACAACGCCAACCACCATTCGATATTTGGGGCTAACAAATTCCAAACCTGTGAATGATCGTACTTATCATTTGAAACAAAAACATCTATCGTTCTGGGAAATATACCTATATTAATATACATTCTAATACGAGTTTATATACGTATATAATATATATACATATAAGTATATAACCAAAACAATACAAAATAGTTATCGATAAATTATGAATGAAAAATACCTAGTACAACAATAAATGTTTTATTACGTAATAAACACTAAAATTAATCTAATGATTACATTAAGCCAGGGATGGCGAACCCATGTCATGCGTGTCACGGAGTGACACTCGCGCATTATTTCGGTGACACGCCAATTTAAATATTATTCATAATTTTTACTTCACTTTCCAAAAAAAWTATTGAYAATTTBAAACTATTTTTAACTTATTATTGGAATATATCGTAAGATATTGTAATCTGTWGGTACTTCCCATTCCCTAAGCTCGAAAACGAAACGATTTGATTATCAATAAATTCGTTTATCGCGTTTACGTAACAAACGTAGGTACCTACAACAGAACAGTCCACAGTCGTCAACAGATAGTTTCGGATGTCTTACACGACGACTATTTTAACCAACCAATTCAATGTTGCTTCAGGCTTACTCACTATAATAAAATTCACGTTCAACCGTTGGCAGTTTAATGCGGTTTCTAAATTTATAGAATAAAGATGTTCAAAAAATGTAAACTGAATCCAGAAAAAAGTGGTAGTGGGAGATTATTCCACGAACAGTGGACAGTGGATTTTGGTGTAATTCAAAACAATAATAAGGTACTATGTTGCTTGTGTAACGAAATTCTTGTAAGCCGTAGTTTCAATTTTAAAAGACATTTCGAGACAGTTCATAATAACATATATTCTCTATCGGCTGAAGAAAAATTAGAATTGATTTCTCAAAAAGTAAAATTGTTTAGAAGTCAATCAAACAAATTTAAAGTGGCGTTCAAACAAAATAATAATTTATTAGCCGCTAGTTTTTCTGTGTCGCATTGCATTACGCAGCATGGTAAGCCACTTTCTGACGGAGAATACTTAAAAGAAGTTTTTGTAAAGGCGTCTAACATTTTGTTTCACAATTTTACTAATAAAAATTAAATAATAAACKTWGGTAAATGTTTAATTAATAATTTTTTAATAAAAAAAGGAAGGTCTGCAAAGTTTCTGACACGTAAAACAAATAAAATCAAACCAAACATTTTGATTTGACACGCAGTTATCAAAAGGTTCGCCATCACTGCATTAACTGATGATAATTTAAAATATTATAAAGAATTAACATTAATTTATAAATCGCGCATTTTTCACGATAATCAGTTTTTTACCTGTTGATTAACAGTGAAATATTTATTAGGTCACATTTTCAAATTCATATTATTAAACTAGCCGTGATATGCAAGTCACATACACATATTCAAGTGTTTAATAAYCACTCAGTTTCGTATTGAATATTGCTGTCTAAATAATTAATAAGAGTTTAATTATGGTAAACGGCCTACCGATGACATAAGCTGCTAGGTATAGCCCTGAAGTAGATGCTCCTACCAGCACTCTGAGAAATGTGAAGCTCCAATACTCTTGTGTAAATGCCATTCCGCAACCAGCAATTCCCTGCAGCCAAACAGATATTACAAAAATATTTTTTCTTCCAATCCTGAAAATAATGAAAATTTTAGACTGATGATTATAGTAGATATCGAACATTAGATGATCATACAAAATTACAATCTATATGTATCTACTATTCAAATTAGAGCGAAGAATATGTTTTTTGACTAACAAATTTTAAAATTTCGTCCCTTGAAACGGGAAGGACAAKTCTTGAACAAAAATGGTATCTAAATAAATAATGTTATTGGAATGAACTTTTACAACCATGGGAATAATTTTCAGTTATTTTATTAAATTCAAATAATTTATTTTAAATATATAAAAACATTTTAAACAATTTGAAAAATTCGCTAATATACATATTTTATATACAAAACTTCAAAATACCGGACACTGACAGCCAATGAAAATGTATCCGCTATTCAGGGATTCAATTTGTAAAATGTATTTGTAGTATATTATGTTCCCTAAAAAACCATCTGTTTTAATTACCAAAACTAATATYATAATATTTTGTGGATTATTAATGGGGTAGGTAAAATATAGTACAATGGATTCCGCTTAATGTGGGCACCGGTTAATATGGGCATCAGTTTATAGTGAKGAAACATGTCTGGCCCCAATACAAATGTATATTAACAATGTTAAATAAAACCACGTAATATGGGCACTCGATTCGGTTTTTATGTGAGCAATTTTATTTTATCATAGCGTATAGAATACACACACATGTACTTAAAACTTTATAAACTAAAAAAATAAGATAGTTTTTAGTTGTTTGAATTAAATTCAAATATGCAGATAATTCATACAATTTGTTTATAATATTATGTACAGACTTATTTATATATTTTACAAACATCTCAATTCTTAATATGAATCACAACTTAAAAGTTGTAACACTATTTAAAAATATTTTTCTCTAAAGAACTCTTTAAAAAAATACATGCCAGTTTTATTTATTACTACAATATACATTTTTATTAAATAAATGCATTAATTAGATTAATTTATACTGCGTACATAAATTATTATTTTATGTAGGTATCCAGATAATATTATTAAAGAAATAAATGTCAAAAATCTTTTATTGATTTCAATATTTTACTTAAGTTTTGTATTATATAAGACATAACTACATAAGRATKTATATATTATAATACTTGAAGTAGGATTCAACCGTTCTGCCCGTCTATTCTATTTTATATGTTTTATACGTTTATTATTACTCATTGTATTCAATGAACAAACATTGTAAAAAGTCGATGGCTGAATAAAAAAAAWATTGTAATTTTATGTTATAGAATATACGTGCGTTAGAGTATACTAGAATTCAAGTAATAGAATTGGAATAAACACAAATTATCGTGCACATAGAGTGTTATATCTAAAAGAATGCAAATTTAAATTGCATAATACGAGTATGACACTGAAATTAGCTTTACAGATGACATAATATGGTACGTAAATATATATGTATATGTAAATATAATGATATACCATACGATTTTTTTCATAATTTTCATGTCAAGAGTTACATTTTACGTTAATATAAAATGTAGATGGTATAGAATATAGATTACAGAATAACTCACCGGTCCGATAAGTATCCAAATATTATCGATCCCAACATGACACCGACCATGAGCATAGARTCCGCAGTGCCTTTATACCAAGCTCTATCACACACCAAGTTAAACTATACAAAAAATTTAATAACTTTAGACCTTGTTGAAAAAAAAACGTGCACTTCATATTTTACCTCCATCACTGCGGTGTTCTGGAATGTATGCTTGTCGTATATCCACTGGTGGCAGTTTATGCTCTGGTTAGCCGTCATATTGGATAAGTAATACGCTTCAGTAAAATTCGTGTCGTATATTTTACATGAAGAAAAATGATCCAACTTATAATCGAATGGATATGACATGTTCATGATGTTAGGTGGCAAAGCATACGAAGCATTRTCGGGCTCACCCGGTAATTGACATCTGTTTAACGGGAAACCAACATTAGTATTAGTTTATATAATAAAATACATAAATAGATTAATCATCGTACACATAATTAATGTTAGGTATATGTATGTATTTATATGTATATATAAGAGAAAGAGAGAAATTTTAATAATCGTAGATATATATAGGAGGCACGTTACACATCGTTGAAATCATATATACCTGTGATCGGTTTTGGCCAGGATAAAGACTCCGGCCAGCTTATGCAAAGCACACGATATGGCAGGTAGACACAGGAAGAAATAAATTCTTTTCTGGTACTTCCCAAAATCTCCGATTTTGTTCAAAAGGTCGTCGTAAGTCATTTTATTTTTTTCGTTACAACTATCTTTATAACTATGGTCTTTGTGTTGCTGTGATGCTGTGTGCAGTCGTTCAGTTCTTTACTGAAACTAACAAAAACGTTAATACATATAGATAGGTAAGTATATATATTTGATTTATTTCAACAMAACACATTGAAACATTATTAAAATTACATAAGTTTTACATTGATCGTCAATACTTAATATAACTAGGCAAACTAAATATAATAAAATCCTTGTTATAACAATTCTCATAGACACTACTTATATGTGCAAATACGGTACAAATTAGAGTATTATTTTTTATTACATATAGATGTATATTCTAACAATTAATCTAAATTCCAAGTACCTAAGTATGTTGTATAATGCTCTAAATAAAGCGATTTAGCGATCAGCRATTGATAAACTTGGTGCAAAATCAAATAGCTCATCTATAATGTGTGCTTTYGTATAAATAAATGAGAAAGACATTTTTCAAACTTATTCACATAATATAATAGCATACTTTTTAGATACTTGATTTTTATACAGTTACGATATCTAGAAAATGTAACTGATGAATTTTCACTCAGCTAATCATTCAGAGATCAAATAAGAATTTTATCAAAAAAAAATATTATTAATTCGTATACTCTACTACAAGTATAAACGTACAATTATTAAATTGATACCTAGGTAATAGTAACAATGACATTAAATTACAAYATGCTAATGCATATGCATAATAACGAGTATAGCTGTAGTAATATGTACATGTATAACACGAGTGCTTTAAAATTGATCTTATGACCATTTTCAGTAAATATAGTCATAATTCATAATATTATACTACTCTACATACGTATATCAATTATTTAATATATTATATTGTAGAATATAGACTACTACAGTACCAATAGTACCGATAAATTTTTACAAGRCTAAAGGTCTTTTGACCAGATAATACAATTAACCGTAATACCAATAGGTTAGGTTAACCATATAAAATATTGAATCAAACAACACAAATATTGTTGGAATAATGCATAATATGATATTGTTAGATTTTGACTAATGGTAGTTGACAAACGTTTTAACGTCCGTATAGTGAGGACTGTACATTGCTGATCATAGTTGACTGGTGTTATAGCGGTATATAGACTTAATCACTAATCAGAGCTCGTTGTCGTAACTTCTGTTACCCAATTAAAAATACAAGTATATACAACGGTTGTGCATGTAAAAAAAAAGAATAAGACGAACGTCATAAAAAACCGTTAGTGTCGGATTTCGTTTATATTTTGTAACACGTAGGTAAAAAAATATAGATTAACATGGAGAAACGTAAATTAAAAACTTACAGAATATGTGTGCATTTTCTAAGTTCTAGGTACTTGAGTAAAAGTATATTTTTCAAGAACTCACTCAAATTCATGTTTTAAATGGTTGTGAAAAAGTGATTGGACATGGTATTTTAAGTACATTACCAGAGTAGATATAATTATTCAAAAATACTTATTTTCAAAAAATTTCCTTTTTTATTTTAAATAGATAATGTTATCATTTGGAATTTTTAATTAAATCGCATAAAAAAAATGAAAAACTGATATAAAAGTCATAAAATTTAATCTAG